GGATGCAAAACCTAAGAAAACTAAAATGGGACGTTGCCTGGGAGATACAATGGTGCAGTTTGAGAAAGCTGAAAACTCATCATTAAATCTTGTTGGAAAAGCGAAAGGGTAAGATGTCTGTTGATAGTGTGAATTTTATATAATTGTTTCATGTAAAATTGCCGGATGAAGGAACAACTGTTTGGTTTTAGAGATAATAGGTCAGTGGTTGTTTTCTCATTTTTTGTGAGACATTAAAAAGAAGATATTTGGCAAAAACATGTTAGGCTTTTATTGATTTTGAAAAGGCATGTGGTAGTATAAATTGACAGGAGATTTGGAAAATATTACCCATGGCAAATGTATCCAAAGGACTAATGGGCAGAATAAGGAACATTTTTGACAAATATGAAAACAGCATGTTCTTAGATGGTAACAAGTCTGAAAGTTTCCAAACATTTAGAGGAGCTAGACGTAGAAGTGTTTTATCTCCTGTGCTCTTCAGCAAGGTGACAGACGAGGCAACAAAGAGAATAACAGGAGGAAAAGAGAGTGGATTGGCAAAAAGTGAGTTATATGCAGACAGTAATTAACATTTTTTATTGATCTTTTGTTACAACGACTTTGCATGAAGTGCATGGAGAGAATGCATTATGGGCTGCTTGTTTCCATTCATGTAGTTGATTCTACTTGAGAATCACAGGATAGATTGGGATGAAATTTGGTATGGAGGTTGTGCCATTCTGCACAACGTCAAAATCATACTCCTGAATATTCTATGAGCGGTGTTAACAAAATAAAAGATGAGAAGGCTTGAAATGGACATTGAAGTGCTTTGATCTGGTGGCCAATGCAAAGACTATCAACCTCTGAATTTATTTGTTTGCTATGGTTACCATCGATGACCATTGTTATGCATTCTTTGAATATTTACTATGGTTACTATGATAATCATGGTTTGTATTAATGTAAGTGGGAATTAGCTGAAGTGTTTGTGTATCTTGAGATTGTTTGTTTTTGTTGTGTTAGGTTAGGTTAGGTTTGATCAGGTTAGGACACAGTAGTTTAGTTTTTCTTCCTGTGAGATGTAGTATAATGTTGTGACTGAAATGTCTAATGTTATTAATTCTTTTTGTATGTATTTTCAGGAAAGTACCTCGACAATCCATTATCAATCCAGACTGGGACTTTCAGAAAATGGGAATTGGTGGTTTGGACAAGGAATTCAATGCCATCTTTAGGCGAGCTTTTGCATCGCGTGTTTTTCCTCCTGAAATTGTTGAGCAATTAGGTATGTGGGATTTTTCTTGCAAGTTTTAAAGTTCCGTGTAGTTTATCAAGTTATTTGAAACAGCATTTTGGAGGAGAAGTAGAAAACATAAATGAAATATGTGCCTTTGTGTCTAAAGTTCACTCATAGATGCAGCTGATGCACCTCTGAACATATGTACACACACACACACACCCACTTATCTTTATTGTAGAATAAACTTTTTGTCCCAGAGATTAACTTGTCTTCTTGTAGACAGCACAAGTTGAAATTTTTTCTATTCTAATTTAAGAAATAATATGCATGCTTAAGATGGCCATCTTCTGGGTTGTTGTGCCGTGTAGTCTGGTAGAAGTTTACCAAACCATCATCAGGGCAATTACCCTGATGATGGAGGCAACAAGGACCTCTGAAATGTCGGTAAACTTGTACCAGAGTATATGGTGCAACGACCCAGAAGACTAATATTAAGATTCACTGCTGTGAAAACCTCAAATCTTGCTTAATATGTGTGCTAACTGATTTTCAGCTGCTGATCTGAGTGCTAGAATCAGGTGCATGACAAACACTGATTGATAGATGGAATTTCGAATAACAATAAGACTGAAATCATTTCTTCTAATAATAAATCAGGACTTGACACTAGATTTATTAACAAACTTGATCTGAAGTATTTTAACGAAAACAATTATATTAGCACATAATATCTTATATAGGGATTATATACACTAACAGTCAATTCCTACAAATGTTAATATTTGTCTCCCAAAGTGTAGGTATTTTCCTTTGTTTCTGCTAAGCAAGACTTCCCTCTCAGTTCTTCCCAACTACTCCCTGTCAATTTGACTTCTGGGCCTCTGTTACAGCCACATTCAGACTTCCCCTTTTCTGCAGCTGCAACACATAACCTAACTCGCCTCTGTCATTGGTGGTATACCCTTCAGTCAGAAAATTGTGCAACCCTAAACAATTGACACCAGTCTTGTGTCATTTGCAGTTAACTTGCAGAATTTTATTTGGTGTTGTTATGTAGGTATGGATTTCCCATAAGTGTTGGATATATAGCCAGATGTCCTCAAGCATTTTGATTTTTTATATGATATTTAATCTAGTTTTTTGTGAAATTTAATCACAGATTGATGTTCAGTTTTCAATGAATCTGTCACACAGACCAAACATTATGGCCAAGTGATTAGCATTGCATTACTTCTTCTTCATATTTGGGAGACCCTGGATTTAAATCTTGGACCAGAGTCTGGATATCATGAGTTGGTTTTTCATGGTTTACTTTAGTCCCTCCAGGCAAAGGCTGAGGTAGTTGATTTTAGATTAGGCCATAAATACATTCTTTCCTTTGAATTATTTATTAATAATTTTACATTATGTAATTTGTGCCATTGACAGCATTATTAAAAGAACCACATATAAATCCAAAATACTGATGCAGCAACTAAAGAATATTGTTTGCAATTTGTAGTATATGACGCATGTAATGTCACATGCAGTTTTATGATGCTATGTTAGTACTGAAGCCACAGTCACACTCTGTGGTGAATTTACATACATTTAATGAAACTGAATTATTTACAACATACATAAATAGAAAATAAGTGTGGAATCAGTCTTCCTTTAAATTGTGATAACATTCAGATCTGACTTCATATGAAATTATTTGTGACTGTACTGAAATTATTTTGTTCAGAATTAACTGCAATTAAGTTGCAATAATGCAAGCACTCGAATTGAAGAAACTGGTTAGAATGATGTTCTGTGGTTGTGGACTCATGTTGCCTGAGTTGGGAACCACTGTTCCATTTGATGATATCAGTATTGTGGAGTCCAAGGTGACTTTATGTTTACGTAGCCTACCTCTGATTACTCTCATAATGAATTGTGTATCATGATGTAGAATATCTCATGGCTTTACTTTTGAAGTAGTTAGCACACAATGCTACTATCTAACTCTTCCTTCTTATTATGTTACGAGGCGCGTCCCAAAAGTAAGTTTCCCACTCGTCCCACAGCTAGCAAACCTTATATTGCGCGAAGCGACTGTGCGTACGTGATAGAGCAATGACGTAGCATGGCGCATGCACAAACGGTACTTCCCGCGTTCTCACA